TCCTTTCGCCTCAGCCTTCCACGTAGCTGGAACTACAGGTGCGCACTACCATGCCCGGCTGATTTTTTGATTTATTGTAGGGATGAGGTCTCGCCAAGTTGCCCTGGTGGGTCTTGAACCCGTGGACTCAGGCAATCCACTCACCTCAGCCTCCCAAAGCGCGGGATTACAGGCTGAGCCACCGAGCCCGGTCTAGCTAATTTTTATATTTTTGTAGAGATGAGGTCTTGCTGTGTTGCTCAGGCTGGTCTCAAACTCCTGAGCTCAAGCCATCCTCCTGCCTCGGCCTCCCAAAAGTGCTGGGATTACAAGTGTGAGCCACCGCATCCAGCTGTTTGATTTTTAGATCGTGTTGAAGACAGAATATTCCCTCAAATGTGGAGCTTCCTCCACGAATTCTGTCTGATTTGGTTTCCCGGTCTGGCGTGCACTTCCGTGACATCGCGGGTTTCCTTCTGTCCCCAGGTATGTCGCCGCTTGTTTGTTGGATCAATGTGGCTCCTCCCCATCGGTCCTCAGGGCATCGGCTGATTCCCGGCGGGTTTTCCAGGCAGGCTGGTCCACAGCGGGGCCGACAGGAAGGGGCTTCCCCTACCAGAAGTTTCCCAGACACGGGGTTGGTGACCGCCTCATTTCCTGTTCCTGCCGAACAGATTGCCACACACACAGTGGCGTGTCACAGCCGAGTTTGTTATCTTTGGAGGTCAGAAGGTAGAGGCCGGTCTCGCAGCCTCCGGTCAGGATCCTGGGTCTTCCGGCTTCTGGAGGCCTCCCCACGTCCCTTGGTGCAAATCTCTGACTCTGACCTTCAGCCTCTTTCTTCCACCTTTTTTTTTTTTTTTTTTGTCTTGGGATCTCACTGTTATCCAGGTTGGAGCACACTGGCACGATCACAGATCACCGCAGTCTTGATCTCCTGGGCTTCAGTGATCCTCCTGCTTCAGCCTCCCAAGCAGCTAGGACCACAGGCACGCAGCACCACGCCTGGCTAACTTTTTGATTTTTTTGTAGAGATGAGGTCTTGCTATGTGACCCAGGCTGGTCTCGAACTCCTGGATCAAAGGATCCTCCCACTCAGATTCTCTAAGTGCTGGGATGACGGGCATGAGCCACCACACCTGTCCCTCACTGCCACATTTAAAGGAGCCTGTGGTGATTGATTACACCAGTTGGGTACAAACAGCCCAGGACATTTTCTTTTATTTTTTTAATATTTTAAAACTCAGCACTTTGAGAGGCTGAGGCGAGAGGAATGCCTGAGCCCAGGAGTTCAAGACCAGCCTGGGCAACATAACGAGACCTCATCTCTACAATAAAGCAAAAAAATTAGCCTGGTGTGGTGGTGTGCACCTGTAATCCCAGATACTCAGGAGGCTGAGGCTGAAAGGTCACCTGAGCCCAGAAGGTCGAGGCTGCAGGGGTCATGACCATGCCACTGCCCTGCCTGGGTGACAGAGTGAGACTCTGACTCAAAAATAAACTAAAATAAAAATAAAACCTTCAAATATAAATAGAGCCGGGCTCGGTGGCTCAGCCTGTAATCCCAGCACGTTGGGAGGCTGAGGTGAGTGGATTGCCTGAGCCCGCGGGTTCGAGACCCACCTGGGTAACTTGGTGAGACCTCATCTCTACAATAAAAAAATCAAAAATTAGCCAGGCGTGGTAGCGCGTGCCTGTAGTTCCAGCTTTGGAAGGCTGAGGCGGGAGAATCACCGGAGCCCAGCAGGTCGAGGCTGCGGTGGCCGGGAGCGGCCACTGCACTCCCGTCTGGGTGACGGAGTGAGACTCCAACTCAAAAAAATAAAATAAAATAAAATAAATATGAATAGAGACAGGGGTCTTACTATGTTATCCAGGCTGGTCTCGAACTCCTGGCCTCAAACGATCCTCCTGCCTTGACCTTCCAAAGTACTGGGATGACAGGCGTGAGCCACAGCACCCGCCCGCCCAGGATATTTTACGGACGTCTGATTAGTGACCTTCATTTCACCTGCAACCCTCACGTCCCCCGCCACGTAGCAAAACACACTCATCGGTTCTGGGGATCAGGACGTGGCTGGGTCTGAAGGGCCGTGATTCCTCCCACCTAAAAGTGGCTTTGAAGTCTGGTGGCCGGCCAGGTTTCCTCCGGGCCCGGCAGGCCCTCTGGGCACCTGAGGACCTGATGGGTCTGCTCCGGGGTTCAGGTTCAGGGTCAAGAGCTGTTCCCTCTAAACAGCACAGCAGTGGGCAGAGGCCTGTGGCTTCCCAGGGCGTGGGCTGCGGGCTTGCCCGCCCCCTCCTGCCCCGCCTACAGCAAGGGACGGGCAGGGCCCAGCTGCCCCTCGACCCGCGTGGCGGCCCCCTGCAGTCCGGGAGGGGCTCAGAGAAGGAGACAGGAGAGCTGGGATCCTGCCTGCCCGGTCTCTTCCAACCTTCCTCTTCGGTGCCTCAGGTCTGGAGGCATGTCCGTGGGCGCTTCTCTGATTCCAAGTGGGGCTGAGTCTCCTGTCTGCGGACTCATTTCAGCAGGAAGCCGGAGGTGGCAGGGGCCAGATCCAGGCTTGGTTCAACATCCTGGCTTCCTTCTCCTCCACCTCCTCTCACTCCGGCCCTCTCCGCCTCTGCTCACCTGCTGTGTCCTCAAGTGGGAGCTCACGGGTTCGAGACCCACCTGGGCAACTTGGCGAGAACTCACCTCTACAATAAATTTAAAAAATCAGCCGGGCGTGGTAGCGCATGCCTGTAATTCCGGCTACTCGGAAGGCTGAGGCGGAAGGATCGCCGGAGCCCAGCAGGTCGAGGCAGCGGTGGCTGGGAGAGGCCACTGCACTCCAGTCTGGGCGACAGGGTGAGACTCCAACTCAAAAACAAAAAACAAAAAACACTGTAAGCCACCCCCTGGCCTCATCCTGGAACATTCTAGCTCAGCAAGTGTGGGGCGGGACCTGGGGATCTGCATTGCAACAATCTTCACCTGTGGTCCTGACGCCTGGCCACGAAAGAGAACCGCTGACCCAAAGCTGGGCACACCGGCGTTTCAAACGCCTCGAGGGAATAAAGTAAAAAGCCCTTCGGTTTTCCGTCTAGTCAAATACCACCCCGTCGGGAACACAGAGTCGAAAGGCGGAGGGCTGCCCCGGGAGAGGAAGGACCCACAGACACAGGACAGAGCGTGGACGCCGTCCACCTCCCCCGGGCCTGGCTCCGGGGAAGTGGGGGTGGGCGGGAGAGGGTGTCTGGGGCTTGAAGCCGACGGCTCAGAAGAGGATGTGTGCTCTGCAGCACCCCTTCCCAGGCTTCGTGTTTTCCAGTTTACAGGGTGTCGTCACCGATGCCATCACATGGGTCCTCACGCCGAAACCAGAGGTCAGTAGGAATGGTCTTGGGGAGCCAAGGCACAGAGAGCCCAGGTGTGCCCAGGTGCCATCATCCGACCCTCTCCCGCCTTCCTGAGATGGCTGTTGGCTTTTTCCTCTCCGCTATTTTATTAATTTTTTTTTAGGTTTTTGTTTTTGAGTCAGAGTCTCCCTCTGTCACCCAGGCTGGAGTGCAGTGGCACACTCACAGCCACCACAGCCTCGACTTGCTGGGCTCCAGCGATCCTTCCACCTCAGCCTTCCGAGTAGCTGGAACCTCAGGCGCGCACCACTATGCCCGGCTAATTTTTTTGATTGATTGTAGAGATGAGGTCTCACCAAGTTGTCCAGGCTGGTCTCGAACCCGTGGGCTCAGGCAATCCTCTCGCCTCAGCTTCCCAAAGTGCTGGGATGATAGGCATGAGCCTCTGTGCCCAGACTAGTTTTGTTTTGTTTTGAGTTGGGGTCTCATTCCCTTGCCCAGGCTGGAGTGCAGTGGCATGATCATAGCTCACAGCAGCCTTGACCTCCCGGGCTCTGGCAATCCTTCTGTCTCAGCTTCTTGAGTAGCTGGGACTATAAGTGTGCACCACCACGCCTGGATAACTTTTAAATTTTATGTAGCGATGAGTTCTCACTCTGTTACCCAAGTTGTTCTCAAATTCCTGGCTTCAACTGATCCTCCTGCCTTGGCCTTCCAAAGTGCTGGGATTATAGGCATGAGCCACCATACCCAGCCTAAAAGTTTTCTCTTAAAAATATTTATTATCATCATCATTAATATTATTTTTATAGAGACAGGGATCTCACTATGTTGTCCAGGCTGGTCTGAATTCCTAGACAATCCTCCCATCTCAGCCTCCCAAATGCTGGGATTTCAGATGTGAGCCATTGCAACTCGCCTTAAGTTTTGTGTTTTTTTTTGAGGTGGAGTCTTACTCTATCGCCCAGGCTGGAGTGCAGTGGCACACTCACGGACACTGCAGCCTCTACTTTCTGGGCTCAGGCGATCCTTCTGCCTCCGCCTTCCAAGTAGCTGGAACTATAGGCATGCGCCACCACACCCGGCTAATTTTTTTATTTATTGTAGAGACGAGATCTTGCCAAGTTGCCCAGGCTGGTCTCGAACCGGTGGGCTCAAGCAATCCTTTCACCTCAGCCTCCCCAAGTGCTGGGACTACAGGAGTGAGCCATCACGCCCGGGGTAAATTTTGTTTTTAATATACCCAACTTAATTATTTCATAAGTGAACTACAGAGGTCCTTTTTTTCTGAGTGGGAGTCTCACTCTGTCGCCCAGACTGGAGTGCAGTGGCCGCTCCCGGCCACCGCAGCCTCGAGCTGCTGGGCTCCAGGGATCCTTCTGCCTCAGACCTCCAAGTAGCTGGAACTACAGGCGCGCTACCACACCTGGCTAATTTTTTTTTTAATTTATTGTAGAGACGAGGTCTCGCCAAATTGCCCAGGCGGGTCTCGAACCCGCGGGCTCAGGCCATCCACTCCCCTCAGCCTCCCAAAGCGCTGGGATTACAGGCTGAGCCACCGAGCCCG